GGCGGAGTGTCGAAACCCGAGACGTGGCACGGTATGTATGTCCCGCCCCGCTACCAGGCGGAAAAAACACGGCACGGCACCACACTGCAAGACGCGAGCGAGAGACGGAAACGGGTCGGCCAGCGCGCGGCCGACCAGCCGAGCGAGGCCGTCCCTGCGGCCAGCCGCGGCGTCGTTCCCAGCGCTGACTGATTTGTGCCAGGCATGAAATTGGCACTCGCCACGCTCGGCCTGGGGGGGGGGAGGAACCCCCCCCTAGGAGCGGAGGGTGCGGGCCCGACCCATCTGCCCCGCAGCACGCGGCCTCTCCGAGGCCAAGCGGGCAGACGCCGGTCGGGCCCGTGGGGGAACACCACCCATTGCAACGGCGCTCTCGCGGGCCACGCCTGGCGCTGCCACCCACTGCCCACGAGTGCGGGGGTGCGCCCGCGTGCGCGCAGTGCTGACACGACCCCCGCAACGCGCGAAGCCGCCGAATTCTCGCCGTCGTCGCTGGACGACTTTGCTCAGTGGGTTTCGACGGCCGATAGTCGTTCGAGCCAGGGAACTTTTGAAGCATGTCACCCTCGCGGGCCGATGCCTACCGCCCGCGCGAAGAAGGTCGGTGACTAGGCCTCCCTCGGCTGCGATATCCCGCGCGCGTCCGCGCCTGAATGCACGGGCGCCGAATGAATCTGCGTCGCGGCGCCCAACTTCGCCCAGCGCTCGGCGCAACCGAGCTCACGCTGCGCCCTGGGGCCACGCGGCCCAGAGGGGCTGGTGACGCGGCGCGCCGCGCCACTCAGCCAGGCCCTGAGAACGCGCGCGCGGCATGCGACCGCGCGCTCGCCGCGCCAGCGCGGCCGTGGCAACGCCGAGCGGCCTTCGCGATTTTTGCCATGGAGAGGTGCAGTTAAATTTTTCGACGCCGCGGGCAGGGCTGCCGAACCCGAAGGCATCCGAAGGAGGAATGCGCAGGCCGCCCGGCACAGCGCGGCGAATCGGCGACCCTCGTCACTGAAGCCCAGGTGCGACAGTAGGCGGACGACGTCGCGGCCCCGAAGAGCCGCGCGCGCTTTCGCCTGACAGCCCGAGCTCTTCTCGATGGCGTGCTTGGCGGCGCGAACCGCCGGGCGCCCGAAGACCTCCGCGGGCCTTTCTCGTGGCCCGCAGCCGCTGGCATGCGCGCGACGCGACGAGATGCGAAAAGGGGCGCGCCAGCGCGCCACGAGGCGCGCCGTCTCTTACATAAGGCGCGCAGTCGCTGAAAGCGCCAGCGCAGCGAAAGGTCGCGGGCCGCGGAGCCAGCCCTTCGAGGGCGGGCGACTCTTCCGCGTCGCTTTAAACGCCCCTCGCGAACGCTACCCAGCGCTCGAGCCCGCTGCCGAGCGGCGGCGGCGAGCGAGGGCGCGCTCTCAGGAGCGCACTCGCCCGGGCTCTGCGCGCCCGCGCTTTCCCGGCCGCCCGCGAGGCGATGCGGGCCCCGGCCTTCGCGGCTGCGACCCGCGGCCCGCGCGCGCCCCGCTGGCCCTCGCGCCCAGCGACTGCGTTCCCTGCGCCGCTGTCCTGTCGCTCGCGCGACGCGCCGCGCGCGATGCACCGCGGTGTCGCGCCAGCGCCGTTGGCGATGGAATCGCTCGAGGGCGCCTGCCTCGCGACGCCGGCCCTGCGTCGGCCAGCGCGAATCGCCCGCGGGCGAACGCGGAGCGCCCGAGATGACCTGAATGCGATCCTGGGCGAGAGGGCGGGCGCGGCGCGCGCGCCCGCGCATCCCCGCTTAGTGGGCCCAGCGCGCCGCCGCGCTGGGCTCTCGCGATAGCAGCGCGGAGCACCTCGCGGGCGTCGCTCGACAACGCCGCGGCGCCCTAACGCAGGGGCGGGCCGCGCCTCTGGGCAAACTGCGCGAAGCTGGGCAATCGTGCCGGACCGCGCCACGTTGCGAACGTCAACTGCGACGGGCGCGCAAGCAGTGCTGCGACGCGCGCGCACTCACCGCACGAGGCGCGACCGCGACGTTCGCGAGGGGGGGCCCCCTTGCCTGCCAGAGCCGGTCGTGGCCTGCGGCGAGGGAACGCTTTCCGTGTGCCGAACAGAGCGTCGATGGCTTCGCGGCCGAGCCGCCCCTTCGGCTGCGGCGCTGCGATAGTTGGAGAGCGCGACGCGCCGACCGCAAGCCAAAGCCTTTCGAGCCGACCCTTTCGCATTTGCCTGACGCCGACACGCGACGCCAAAACGGCGCCGTCGGGCTCGACCGCGCTGATCGGCGCGGGGCGGCCCGTTCGGCCCAGCTCCGCTTCGGCTATTGTTTAGGCGAGAATTTCGGCCAAGTCGCCGGGCCCCCTGAACGCGCCGAGCGCAGCGCGACGCGCGCGCCTCTGGCGAGCGTCAGGCGCGAGGCTGCCTCTGAGGTGAACGCGCCGTCCGCGGGCCCCAGGGGCGCTTGTTTTTGTTGTTCCCGCGGCAAGAAGAGCGGGAATATCGCTCGTCGGCTTTCGGCTTGCGGCCGCCCCTCCAGGAGGCGCCGGCGGCGCCCGCAGCGCTCGCGCTCTGCCCGCGCGACGCCGCGGCTTGCCCCGCGCCTCTGCCGACCGGCGCAGTTGCCTGCGCGGCGGCGGCGGCGCGTCGTGCGGAAGGGGGCCCAGCGACGCGGCCTTCGAGGCCCAATCATATTCCGCTGCCGCCGCGCGGGGGCTCCCGCTGTCAGGTGACAGCGCAGCCTCGCCCGCCTGCGCGCCGCCGCGCGCCCCAGAATTATCGCTAGAAGACATGTCGCGAAACTGTGGCCCTGAAGCCTGCCGCGCCGGCGGCGGCGCTTTCGGCCCGCGCCCCCCGCGCCCGGCGGCCACGTGCCGAAGTAATTTGGGTCTTCCGCCGTTGCAAAGGGGCATCCAGCACCACCCGCGCGCGCGCGCGCTCGCGCGGGCCATCGCGTTCGCGCTCGACATCCGATTTGCGGCCGCCGCCGCCGCCGGGCTCCGCGCGCCGCGCGCGCGGCGCCGTGGCGCCCCGGCCAGCGGCGGCTGACTCGCTGTTGCGGTGCCAGGACCGAGCGCTTCGGCCAGCGCGGCTGCCCCCCTCCTTTGACGCGAGCTCGTTATCGTCGGAAGAGCAAACCGCGCCGCGCGCAGAGAGGCTGAAACTTCGCGAGTCCGCATAGAGATGTCGACGCCCCTGGCATTTGCGCGCTTCACCTCGGCGGCCAGCGCATCGGTCGTCGCCGACCTGAGCGGAGAGGGATGCGCGCCAGCGCGCAGGGACTGAGCCGCGCGGGCGCCTCGACCGCAGCGACTGCGGAAGGCCTCCCAGGATAATTTGGGCCAGGTCTGCGTCGATGTCGACGCGCTCCCCCTTCGGCGCAGGTCCTGGATTATGCTGCCTCGCGGTCGAAGCGCGCGCGGGCCCCGCGGCCGCTGGTGAACTCGCCTTGTCGCCCGCCACCGTCGCGCGATCCAGTGCGCGCCGCAGGGCGCCCTTCGACCGCGCTGGCACGCCGTCGGCAACCTGCTAATCCTCGAACTGAATATTTGCCACATCTTCTGGCACCTTCAGCCCGCTGGCTGCCGGGCAATCAATCGTTCCCTCGAACAGGATGTCAGACCACTTCGCACCCACAAGATGGTCAGAACGTAAGAAGGCAATCGTCGCCATCGCGAGCCCAGCGCCTCGGGGCGCTCGCGCAACCCCCGCGCGTCGCAGAGGCATGCCCGACAGTTGCGGCCCGCGCGCTCACTCGATGGCGCGTCGCGAGGAAAAACGGAAACCCCATAGGGCTCGGTGGACACGGGCGCCGCGCGGGAATGTCCCAGGTCGCAATCATCACGAGCCACTGCGGGCAGCAGGGCCCCCCCGCAAAGGCGAGCCGGCGACCCTGGAGGACCCTGCGCGACCACTCACGCAAATGACGTCGCAACGAGCCCCCCGCGAGCTGCAGTAAACTCTTGGGACCCCGGTGGGCACATAGTCGCTGTGGACCCCAACGCACATGGCCGCTATGGACCAGGGGAGAGGCCCCAGTGGGCATGTGGTCACTAACGACTATAGTGGCCAGCGCGAGCCCGCCGGATAGCCACGCGGTCGAAATGCCCCATCGACAGCACGTGGTCTTTATGGATCACCAGAGAATACCCCAGTGGGCCAGCGAACGCAGCAGGCCATTATGGGCCGCAATGAAGCCACTATGGGCCGCACGAAACCCCAGCGGGCGGAGGGTCGAAACCCGCGACATGATACGGTAATTATGTATTTCCCGCCCCAGAACGAAGCGGTAGAAACACGGCACGGCACCACATTGCACGACGCGAGCGAGAGAAGGAAGCGGGTTGGCCAGCGCGCGGCCAACCAGCCGATCGTGGGCACCCCCGCGGCCAGCCGCGGGGTCGTCCCCAGCGTTGGCAGATTTGTGCTAGGCAATAACTTCGCTATTCCGACCCGGCAAGGGTCCGTATTCAGCTCATGCGCCCAGAGCTTCAGTCGCACAAAACCCAGGCATTAATTAGGCATCCTAGTTTCGATGTTGTGCGCTCGAAACCTTCACACACTGGTGGCCCATGTAACGGAACAGCTTTGCGTCATTCGGCATCCACTGATCTTCTGGCTCGCGCAGACACCGCGCCCAGATGCTGATCTGATCTGGTCATCATCCCTCCCTCTCCTCCCTTCCTCTCGATCTATCCTTCCTTCCTTTCCTCCCATTCCCCTCCCTGCCTGGTTCCCTCCCTCCCTTTCATGGCCCTTTCCTCTGATCTCCCAACCCCCTGGAGGAGGAGGAGGAGGAGAACACGAGGAAAAGAGGAAAAGTATCAGGGGTCGACAGCGCGTCTGACAATGTGGTGCCCGGCCTGGCTCTCCGCTTTGCGAAGCTGGTCTTTCACGAGCGCGCCGTATGTGAGCAGGGACCAGGGTGCTTGAGTCTCTGGCCCGAACCTAAAGAATGCTGGAACGGGAGCTACGATCAAGACGCGAACAGGGATGCGCACCCCATTCATCCTTTGTCTGGGTCGGTCGGCAGTGTCGCGCGGAAGGACTGGGCGGCGGTCATCGGCTGCGACGGGGTTTGGAACACGATGAGCGACCAGGACTTCCCGAGGCTGGGATTCATCCATATCTGCCGCCCGGGAAGCCCGTCTTCTTTTTGGGCTTCGGGAGGCGGTGGATGCAGATAAATACAGTGGAGGCCCGTGCCAAGAAACACCCTGCTTGCCTCCAGGATGCCTTGGGTTTCTTGGGTTTCGATGGTTTTGCGATGGAAGGCGCGACGCTGCCACACCAAAAACGAATGGACGTCCTGGGGTCTCAGGGTCGGGTTTCTTGTGGAAGGCTTCTTGTAGTCGGGCCCCTACTGTATGCTTGGGCCCGAAGGGGCCAGACATGTCCATATCCACTGCACCCTGGGGTCCCAGGGCATTCGCTCCCCGGGCGGTGGATACGGATAGGATCCCGCCTGCCGCCGGCATGGCAGCGCGGCCTGGCCGTGAAGAGCGACAGGCGCCCTGAGCATGCAGTCGATGATGATACCGCGCTTCAAGGGGGATCGCAGGGTCCATGTCATTCCGACTCGATATCGATTCCAGCAGGCCCGACGCGGTTGATTCCGATGCCCGTTCGATCCGGGTCGGCTCGACGCCTGCGAAGCGCTGTTGTGCGTCCTGGCGCCTGCCGATCCGGTTCGATTCCGATTCCGTGCCGATGCGTATTGGTCTGAGTCGGTTGCATTCCGATTCGATCCGATTTCCCGATTCAATGCTGGCTGGTCTCGGTTGACGAGATTTACAGCTATCAGGCTCATCCTGGACCCACGAGCGATGTACATGACTGGGCCTATAGCGGATATGTACCCAGACATGCGACGTCCTGATTTTTCAGGACGGCGTCTCTGGAAGTCCGGAGTTTTTTGGCGGTCCTGGGGCCTGGCGAGGGCCCCCCCGGGGCCGAAAATATGGGAATATTTGTCTTCCTGATTGTAATGGCCTCCGGCCAGTGCCGCCGATCCGGGGGGCTCTGGATTTGGTGATCTTCGCGGCTCTGTGGCCTCCTCCCTCCTCGATTCTTCCGGCTCTTTTCCTTCTCCTCTGGGGGGGGCCTGGAGCGGTCCCGGGGGAGGTCCGGGGAGGGTTCCGAGGGATGATCCTGGGGGCGGTAGCGGCTAGATTTGACGGGGGTCCCTGGGACCCCCCGAACATTTTGGGATGCGCGAATCATGAAGACAACGCCAGATGGGGGACCGCGCCCCCGCCCCCCCCTTCCCCCCCTTCCCTGGGGGGGGGGGTCCGGATGCGCAAAAGATAAAGGAAAGGCCAGATGGGGGACCGCCCCCCTCTCTCCCCCTTCCCCAGCTCAAGCGACCCCGGCGACCCCCCCCCCCAAGCAGAGTCGAAGCTCTTACTCAGAGCTGAAGCTCTTGCTGAGGCTCCTTACAGCTCACACGCCGGATCGGCGGATTTTTTTACGATGCGATCGTGTCTGGGTATACATCTCGTCGCCTTGTGGGCCCTGGGGGCGAGCCGAGTCGAGGCGCCCGCCTCGCAGGCTCGACCTCGGCCTCGCCGCGCCTGTCTTGGCTCCGCGGGGCACGCCGTCTGCCGCGGCTGCGCCCTGCCTGCGCACGAGCTCCCAGCGGCCGGCGAATCGTGCCCGTCGGCGCGCGGGAGGAGGAGGAGGAGGAGGAGGAGGAGGAGGAAGAGGACGAAGAAGAAGAAGAGGAATAATGATAATAGTAATAATAATCAGAAGAATCACAAGAAAAAAGGAGGAGGGGGGGGAGGTGGAGGAAGAGGAGGAGGAGGGGGAGGAGGAAGAGGAGGAGGAGGAGGAAAAGGAAGAGGCGGAGGAGGAGGAGGAGAACGAGGACGAGGACGATGAGGAGGACGATGACGAGGACAAGGTCGACAAGGAAGGGAGGGAGGGAGGGATGGAGGAACGGAGGGAAGGAGGGAGGCAGGGCGGGAGGGAGGGACGGAGGGAAGGTGGGAGGGAGGGAGGGAGGGAAGGAGGGAGGCAGGGAGGAGGGAGTAGGAGGAGAAGGAGGAGGAGGACGAGGAGGAGGAAGAGAAGGAGGACGAGGAGGAGGAGGACGACGGGGAGAGGGAGCAGGGTGAGGAAGAGGAGGAGGACGAGGTCGAGGAGGGGGATGACGATGATGATGATGATGATGATGATGATTTTGATGATGATGATGATGATGATGATGATGATGATGATGATGATGATGATGATGATGATGATGATGATGATGATGCTGATGCTGATGCTGATGCTGATGCTGATGCTGATGATGCTGATGATGATGATGATGATGATGATGGTGATGGTGATGGCGATGGTGGTGGTGGTGATGATGATGATGTTGATGCTGATGCTGATGATGGTGATGATGATGTTGACGATGATGATGATGCTGATGATGACGATGACGATGACGATGATGATGATGATGGTGATGATGGTTGATGATAATGATGATGCTGATGATGATGATGATGATGACGATGATGCTGGTGATGATGATGATGGTGGTGGTGATGTTGATTGTGATTGTGATTGTGACGATAATGCTGATGATGATCCTGATGATGATGATGATGTTGATGTTGATGATGATAATGGTACTGATAATAATGATGCTAGTGGTACTGATGATGCTGATGATGACGATTGTGATGGTGATTGTGATGGTGATGGCGATGATGCTGATGGTGATGATGCTGATGATGGTAATTATGATGATGCTGATGATGCTGATGCTGATGATGCTGATGCTGATGCTTATGCGTATGCTTATGCTTATGCTGATGATGTTGATGATGATGTTGATGCTGATGCTGATGATGCTGATGCTGATACTGATGCTGATGATGATGATGATGATGATGATGATGATGATGATGATGATGATGATGATGATGATGAGGAGGAGGAGGAGGAGGAGGAGGAGGAGGAGGAGGATGGGGATGAGGATGAGGAGGAGGAGGAGGAGGAGGAGGAGGAGGAGGAGGAGGCTGTCCGACCTCGTCGGGAGCCCCCGCCGCGCCGAATCGCCGCGGGCAGCGGGAACTAATTAGGCTGGCGCCGGGCGCGCGCGCGCGCGCACCGCGAAGGACGTGGCCGACGCCGTGTGGCAGGCGCCGCCCCTTCCCCAAACTGGGCCCCCTCCTCCCCCTCCCCTCCCTCCCTCCTCCTCCTCCTCCTCCTCCTCCTTCTCCTCTCCTCCTCCACCTCCTCTTGCTCCTCCTCCTCCTCCTACTACTCCTCCTCTTCCTCCTCCTTCTCCTTTTCCTTCTCCTCCTCTTCCTCCACCTCCTCCTCCTCCTCCTCCTCCTCCTCCTCCTCCTCCTCCTCCTCCTCCCCCTGCCTCCTCGATGTTTCGGCGCGCGCACGTAGATTCCTTCGTACAAATTGCAAGAGTGAGAGATTGACGATCGATGTTGACGGGAGCTGGAGTAGTTTTTACTTGCGAAGCGCGCACCTCCGCCAAGCATCATTGATAGCGCCATTGCCTTTCTCCGCAATGATAGATGAAGAACGGCTGTCGCTATGTTTCGCCAAGGCATCGAACGCGCGCGAGGGATCTGAACATCGGACGCGGGGTCGCGGCGCGGCAGAAACAATGGCCGCTTTGGTGCGCACATTGTGAGGCGCCGCAGCCATTTTGGCTCAATGTGTAAGTTGGGATGATGCGGCCACGCAAGCTTTGTTTCGCATCGCTGCGCCGCCCCTCGAAAGCCCCGAGCCTGCCCAGACAGGGTGGCCCGGCCCCATAAGCTGGCGACGGAGATCGGGGCCGGGGCGGTGCGCCCACGCCAGGGCCCCGCGGCCGCGTGCGCCGAAGGGGCGGGCAGAAGAACGCGCTCGCGCGGCCCTCGCCGCGTGTCCCTGCGCGCGCGGCGCGGGCGGCAGAGCGGCCATGCACGTCTGCATGTGCTTCTCTGGTTATGTATTTCTTCCTTTATTCCCGGCCCTCCTGCGTTGGGTTCTCGTTTTGAGTAGCGCACTGCGCTCTCCAACCTTCCTCCCACTCCTGCCTCCTCCTCCTCCTCCCTCTCCGGCCTCATGCTTTCTGCCGCCTGGGAGGTCCATCGGAGTGGGGGGACATGCAGACACTGCCCTCCTCTCTTCTCTTCTCGTGCGTCCTGGTATCGCCGCAGCCCCGTTGAGACCTCGCGGCTCCCTGAGAGGCTGCGAAGCGTGAAACTGTCGAAGTGTCCGCGGGCTCCTGTGATGTCGCGCAGAGTGGAGTTACACGGGGACCCAGTTGAGGCTTGGCGGCACCTTTGGGGGCTGCGGAGTGTGAAGCCGTCGCCATGGTATTGCCGTGGGTTCCTGAGAGGTCCAGCGGAGTGGAGCGGCACGCGGATCCAGTTGAGACCTCACGGCTTCCTGGGGGGCTGCGAAGTGTGACATTGTCGCCCCATTCGTAAGCTCCTAGGAGGTCCAGCGGAGTGGAGTAGTACGGGGACCTTCCCTGGGGGGGTGCGAAGTGTGAAAGCGTCGCCACTTCCGTGGGCTCCTGGGAGGTCACACCGAGTGGAGTGGTACGTGGATCCGGTTGGGACATCACGGCTCCTTGGGGGGGCTGCGAAGTGAGAAATTGTCGCCATTTTCGTGGGCTCCTGGGAGGTCCAGTGGAGTGGAGCTACACGACGACAGTTGAGACCTCGCAGCTCCTTGGGGGCTGCGGGGTGTGAATTTGTCGCCATTTTCGTGGGCGGTTGGGAGGTCCAGCGGAGTGGAGTGGCACGGGACTCTGTCGCCCCCCCGCGCCCCCCCAGAGGAATTGCGAAGTGTGAAAGCGTCGCCTTGTCCGCGCACTCCTGGGAGGCCCAGCGGAGTGGAGTGAAACGAGGACCCAGTTGAGACCTCACGGCTCCTTGAGAGGCTGCGAAGTGTGAAGTCGTCGCCATTTTCGCGGGCGCCCAGGGCGTCCAGCGGAGTGGAGCGGCATGGGGACCAAGTTGAGACCTCGCGGCTCCTTGGGGGCCACGAAGTGTAAAGCAGCCGCCATTTTTGTGGGCTCCTGGGAGGTCCAGCGGAGTGGGGGGTTACGAGGATCTCGTGGAGACCTCGCGGTTTCCTGAGGGGCTGCAAAGTGTGGAATT